CAGATAGCATTAATGCATATTAATATTCCTGCCACCAAAACATTACTCAAGCCAGAACTACTGGCTCTGTAAGCGTCTGCGGTGTGTGCACAGTCACTCTGCTAATAGAAAGGTTAACTTGTATTTTTGAATTATTGATGGTTGCTTGTTACTAATTTCTTTTTCCTCAGAAAGGAGGAAATTATTAATGAAGAGATCATTGCCAATGTGTCTGACATCTATTAATGGTTTCATCTTGCAACCAGATTAAAAGAGACAGCTGGTCCATGAATTTACACGTGGAGGCTGCTCCAAATGTGCTGACAACTCTGTGGGAGAGCGGGGCCCACTGCAGTGCACCTGAGCTCCACGCGGCGGCTGGTACCGGGTCCTCCCCTGGTTGGCACGGCCTCTGTGGAAGGGCCGTCAAAGGATTTGCTGCGGATGGACCAGGCAGCAGATGGGCTATCACTGTCTTGGCATGTTTCCAAACTCTTCTGTTACCCACGGGAGCCCATTCGTACCTAGCAGTCCCTTGTTGGTTTCCTCCATGAGTGTTTTAGAACAGCGGGTTTCAACTTGAACATGCATCAGAATCACCTGGAAGGCTGGTGAAAGGAGAGCCCGGGCCTCACCACCAGCGTTTCTGATTCAGCAGGTCTGGGGTGGGACGTGAGAACTTGTATTTCTAACAAGTTCCCAGGTGCGGCTGATGCGATTGGTCCAGAAACCATGCTTTGAGAATGAATTTTAGATCAGTAATTGTCAAACTGTGCTGTAAGAGTTTCTCTAAAGGAAGGGTTGGCAAACTTTTTTCTATAAAGGGCAAGACAGTAAATATTTTAAGCTTTGTGGGCCGGATGATCTTTCATAGAATCACTCACCTCTGCTGCTACAGGTCAGAGTGGCTATAGGCAATACGTGAAGAAATACATGGGTTTGTGTTTCAATAAATATTTATAAAAATAGGCAGTGGTCCAGATTTGGCCCCTGGGTGGAGTTTGCTAACCTCTGCTCTAGAGCAGTGCTGTCTAGTAGAACGTTCTGCCAAAAGCAGCGATAGGCAGTATGTAAACAAATGAGCATGGCTGTGACACAATAAAACTTTATTTATAAAAACAGGCAGCGGGTCAGGTATGGCAAAACTTGGTGACCTCTGTTTTAAAGCAGCACTAATAGAATTCTCCGTGATGTTGGAAATATTCTGTATCTGCATTGTCTGATGCAGCAGCCACTGGCCACCTGTGGCTACTGAGTACTTGAAATGTGGTGTGGCCAACCACTGAAATTCTAAATTTAAAATTTAAATGGCTAGTGGCCATCAGTGCCACAGCAAGAAGACAGAGACTCCAGTGGAGCAGCCACGCCCATCACAGGAGGTGACCCTTCCCACCTTCCTACATGGAGTCTTTGCCCTTCTTGAGCCTCAGTGTCCTCGTGTCTACGATGGGGATCAAACAATAGCTACATCACTGGACTTTGATACTTGAACACAGAATACACTCTACTAGATATGTGGTTGGAAAATCTCATTAGTGAGGCACGTGGCCCCAGCAAGTGTCTTCCTCCTCGTGCTCTGGTCTCTACTGGAGGGCTGAGCACTGGGGGCGAGGTAGGGCTGGGGAGATGGGGACCAGCTCTGGGTCTTTACTCCACCAGATTGTAAGCTCCATGAGGGCAATGACCACTGATGTTTTTTAAGGCTTCAAACCCACAGCCAAACATCAAAAGGCCAGCACACCTGTTGAAAGTTTCAGGTTTCCCCTGAAACTATGCAAGACATAGAGATCTATAGCTGAAATGTCTGCACACTTGTCTTGGTCCCTGCTAGAGCTGAAAGGGAAGCCACTGGGCAGATATGGAAACTGACACGCAGAGAGGTCTTGCCAAAGGTTTCATGGGGTTAAGGGCAGAGTGACTCTGAAGAGGCCTCCTAGCTGAGCATAACTAAAAGAGTTTGTAGGGTAGAATGCCATCTCTCACGAAGCTCACCCTGCCTCCTTCCTTCATTGCTGATGTGATGCTGAGCCCAGCCCGGAGCCAAGCACATCCGTGGTCATGTCCTAGCTCCCTGGGCTGATGGGGTCAGATGGGAGGGTGGGCTCCCGGTGTGGGAGGGTGGGAGACCATGCTGTAACTTTCCATGAGTTCCCTCCCCTGAGAATCCAGCTAGCTGGAAGCTTTGTGTAAGGCGTCTTTGTCCATGTACCAGCCCTCTCTCTCCACCCCAAACCCGCGTCTTCTAGCAGCCCTGTGGTAAGCGTCCAGGTCCCCTTTGGGAACCCAAGTCTTATAGAACAGATGAAGAGGAGACAAACAACATCCCCACAATGTAAAAAGCATCATGCCAGCGGTCGGCACTGGGGAACATGCCTTGAGCAGGAAGGGCCCGCTGGCCAGAGTTCCAAAGAGAAGCCCTAAGGGCCAGTGTGAGTTTCCCCGGGGAGAGGATGCAGTGCAGGGCTTCCAGGCAGAGGGACTGGCCCGTGCAAAAGTGTGGCAGTGTGACGGGTGCCAGAGCCCTGCTGGGCAGCAGGTGGCAGCATGTGTTACTGAAGGAAAGAAGGGCAGTTTCTAGGCATAGAGGGAGGTTCAGAAAGCACAGAGGGTTACAATTTATAACCACGGTGCACCTGGGTAGGTGAGTCCAGGTGCCGGGATCAGTTCCCACTCCACCAGCTCAGTGACTACGGAAATGGTTTTTTTTTTTCCTTGGGCCACATGAACTCCATTCAGACCTGGGGGATTTGCCTGACTTGATATCGCATCCCTAAGGCAGGGTGCGAAGGTGGGCGGGGATGCTGAAGGGTGTGTGCTCTGAAGATGCTGTGAGAACTGCTATTTTATAGTTTTCCAGAAAGCTTGAGAGAGGGGATGAATTGGCAGGAGTCCAAGGAAGTCGGGACACGTTACAAGTGTGACAGCAAGCTCTTTAGTGGCTTAGAAATCTCCTCCTCACCTGGGCCAGCCCCTGAGTCAGCCATGGTTGGGGTCGCAGGGGGGTCTTGGGTCAGAGCTCTCCTCCAAGGTTTCCTAACTGCTCGTCTGCCCAAGGCAGGGTTAGAGTGAGTGAGTGATGGAACCAACAGCTGGCAGCTCCATTCCAGCTGTCCCAAAGGCTGTGCATTGTGGTGTCCATAGAGAACAGCACAGAGTGAGGCACACAATTTAAGTACGACATAAATGTTGGTAGAATTCTTAATCTCCAAGGCAGCTCGTAAAAGGATCAACTCCCAGGCCACCCCCACTCTCCCCAGCAGGGGTCTGGAGAAACCTTCCTGGTAGTTGGTCCAACAGGCTAGTCCAAGCACTTCACCTTTTGAAAATGGTCATGGTCACGGTGGTGATGGTGGGAAGCGGGTCCGGGGAGGGGTGGAAGAATTTCCCTGGGATTGCAAGTGTGGGGTAGGAGGAGTAATTGGGTTTCCATTCAAGGGAACTGTTCCACTCCACCTAGTGAGGCCCTGTGTTCTCTGCCATGGCAACTTGGGTCCAGAGCCTGGGGCTCCCCACCTTTGGAACCCTGACCATGCTTGATTTTCACAATTCCCCTACAGTCTGCCCAATCCAGTCCCTGGAACCCCAACAAAGATGGGGGTGGGGGGCTGTGCTGACACAGAAGGAGGGAGGGCTTTGGCCAGGTAGCAAAGTGTTCACAAAGTGTGAATCCCTTAAGCATTTTTGGGTGTCCTCGCCCTTTGCTTTTACATCTCGGACACCCAGCCGGGACTCAGGTGCCAGCTGCCTCTCAGGACAGCAGAGAGCCTGGCTGTGGGCTTCGGACTGAGAGGGACAGCTTCAACTCTGATCTATGGTTTTAGGCTTTCAGCCCCAACCAGGTCTTTGTTAAGACCTAGAAGAAAAGGGAAAAAGCTACGTGGTTCTGTCTCCCTAGAAAAGGAAAGGGAAGGCTGCCAGAGAAAAATTGTGGGGGCTGGGGAGATGCCTCATGCCCCGTCTGCGCCCCCTCGCGCGTGGTGGTGGGGACAAGGGAAAGATGTGGGTGAACAAGGTGGGTGGGCAGCTAATTGAGGGGGGCGGCGATTGTGGTGCTGTCCTCGAAGCGCCCATAAGAGTGTGACCGGTGTCTGTGTGTGTGTGTGTGTGTGTGTGTGCGCGCGCGCGCGATCTTAGATGAAATTCTCATCTCAGGGTGTGCCGGAGACCCCGGCCAGCAGCCGCCTGCCCCTGCTTCGGGCAGATGCCCCTCCCCCTTTCGCAATTCACTTGGCCTCACATCTAGAGTTGAGAGGGCTGCTCCTTCCCTCCTCTCGCCACCGAATCCCCATTTACCTGTTCCCCACCCCGAGTTCAAACGGCTGCTCCCGCTCCCTCCTCCCCGCACCGCCCCCGTACCTGCGCCCCCACAGGGCAGACGGTGCTTGGCTGCGCGGCGCGGTGCGGGGCGGAGGCGAGGACCCTGCCGGTGGTGCGGGTGCGGGGGTGATGTGTGGACGCGCATGACTGTGCCAACGGCCCGAGCCGGTCAGCCCCGGAGAGGGTGCGCGGGGGAGGCCGTGTGTGTCAGGCGCGGGCGTGTGCCAGGCGCGGGCGTGCGCGCGAGGGTGTGTGCACGGCCGAGGCGGAGCGCCCGGGCGGGCGGCGGCGACGGCGGCGGCGTTAGGACTCGGGGGACACCGCCCCCCGCCCCCCGCGTCCCGCCCCCGCCCAGCCTCCCGCCTCAGTTCGCGCCGCGCCTCTGCTAGGAGCGAAGCGGCGCCGGCTCCTGGAGCCCGAGCGGAGCCAGCAGCGCGCACAGTCAGCAGCCGCGCCGGCTATGCGGGGCCGCCCCGCGCCCGCCCCAGTTCCGGCCCCAGCCCCCGCGGGAAGGGGCTGAGCCGCCCCCGCCGCCCGGATGGCGAGCCTCGCCGCGCTCGCCCTCAGCCTGCTTCTGCGGCTGCAGTTGCCGCCGCTGCCGGGCGCCGGGGCTCAGAGTGCCGCAGGTGAGTGCGCCCGCCCGACTTCCCTGGGCTCCCCGCTCCCTCCTGGGTGCGCGCCGGTTCCCCAGCCGCGGGGACCCTGGAGGAGAAAGTTGTGCGGGCTCGCGGGGGCGCGGGGCCCCACGGCCGGAGTCCGGGTCTTAGCCTGCAGGCGCAGGAGGCCGCGTCCCGGTGCGCCCCGGCCCGCGAGCCCGGCCCCTCGCGTCCCTCGGCGACCCGCGTTTGGCGAAGTTCCCCCCTTCACTTTCCTGTCGGTCTCCTGGGCTGGAGTAACTTTCCGTGGTTGTTGCGAATATTTCCACTTGCTGCCTCCCACTTGTCGGAATCTGCCACTTGAATGTTTGGGGCGGCGGGACGAGGAGTGGCGGGGACGCCCATGGTGGAGCGTTCTCTCCCGGGCAGCTCCTCGGGCAGCGCGCGCTTTTAGTGGGGAGGACAGGTCCCCAGCAGGCCAAGGCTGCCGGGGCGGTGGCTTTTCTTTTCTCCTCAGAGATACTGGAAGCTCCACAGGGGCTCCGAACGCGCCGCTGCCTTAAGCCAGCAGCCTAAGGCACCGGTGGGGATGTGTGCGCGGATGACCGAGCAGCGATACCTCCGCCCTACCCGCTGGCTTTTCTCCGGGGTAGCTGGGCGCCCTTGTTGTTGAGGCCCTTGGAGGGGAGTGGATTTGACCCGTGAGCGCGTCTGCTCCTGAAAAGTTCAGGGGACTTCTATTTGGGTTTGGCTGCGGGAAGGAGGTGAGCAGAGGGTAGTTCCCCGGAGTAGGGGGAGCGAGGGGTGCCCTGACGGGCTCCTAAAGGCACGCTGGCGTGTGCTGGAGAGCACCGCGGTCCAGGGTCTCCACATCACCAAGCCCCTCTGTGGGCAACTTCCAGCCCCGAGCCCCCCAGCAGTAGCGGCGGAGGGAAGAAGAGAAGGGAGGGAGTGCTCCAGGTGTACTTCTAAGTTCAAAATCACCTTGAAGTTTCTTAGCACCGATTGCTTTTGGTGTAACCACGGCCAGGCGGCTGGGATCGCGGGGTGGACTGAGATCAGCCGGTGGGACGCAGGAACAGGCTCGTTTTGGCTCTTTCAGCAACAGCTGTGCCCTTTTATTATTTCACCGAAAGAAGGAAAGAAAGAGCAAAAGAACGAACCTATGGGGAAGTAGAACGTCTTTGCACAGGCTGCGTCTGAGGCTAAGAGCCGCTGGAGGGACATTCCGTTGGAAATGCGTTAGAGCCTTCCTTGCTGGGTACTAAAATGGAAACGGAATAGGCGAGTTTTGCAAAGGGATAGCCTGTTTCTCTGGCTGGGGAAGTTGTTGGGTGACGAAGACACTCCTTTTGAGGTGTGTGAAGCTGAAAGGTTGGATTGGCAAGTCAGAGAAGAGGGACAGTCACGGCACCATTCTAAATATGGTGCACAATTCTTGTTTTCCTCATTTTGGGGTGTGCGTTAGATGTGCTAGAGAGGGAGGGGTGCTAGGGAGGATGCCCGGGGCACTCCTGGGGACCCAGGCGTGACTCATGACTCAGATTTTATATCCTCTAAGACATGACCGGCCAACCGCACATTAATACCACTCACGTTCCCGCGGCAGAAACAGGATCAAAAATATTTCATCACGGGTCTCATATCGTTCTTGGGGAACGAGCGGTAAAACCCGTACCGGCTCGGGAAGCTGTCCAGTGCTGAACGCCGCCCGTTCCGGATGCTCCCGCCAGGTGGCGCTCGCCCACAACTATTAAAATGCAAATCTGGTTGCTTTCATATCAGGAATAGAACTTTTCAATTTTTAAATGAGTAATGTGTTTATTCAGCAGCCTTTTGTTAAAACATTTAGAGAAGTGTGAGGAGCGAGCACCTTTTCTTTGTTTGCTCTTCAGAACGCAGGAGAAAAAAAGAAATCCTGGAATACGGTTTGGGAAGAAATCTGTTAAGGCACTGTGTATTTCTTTTGGGTCTACCTGGGCAGGGTGGCTTCTGCAAACCCACTACATAGCATATATTTAGCAGGTGGCTGCCTTTGTGCCTGGGGGCCCCTTCAGCGAGTGGGATTAGCTTATACTGGAGATTTGGTGCATTCTAAGCCTTATGCATTTGTAGAAATGGGAATTTTCTGTATATATCTGTCCTCTCCTTTCCGGTTTAACAGCAACTAGACCATCTAAATTGGATTAATTTTTTTTCCAGGGTTTCTCATGAACATCTGTATTTGTCAAAACAAGAATACTATAAACGTTGACTTAAAAAATGGACTTATTTTATTCCTAAATTCAGAAATTCTTCCAATTTCAATTCTAGTGTAAATATGACAATAACTAGATTTCCTTTAAAGTATTTTATTTAAAACTTTTGGCAAGTTTGGATAAATACATTTTAAAACTAAGTAGTGTGCTCTCCGTGTTCTTTTGATCTGAAAATTCCCAGTCTCGAAAGCAATTTCAGTTTGTAAGCTTACATCCATGATATAGTTGTGCTAATGTGTTTTGCTGTAACATGTTGGTCACAGTGTCCAAAAGTCAGGAGCAGAAGCTTGTCATCAAAAGGCAATTTCCTTTTTCCTTACTCTAAGGCATATTTCTTGAGCCATGATAGTTTTTGTTAAGGAGTGATAGTAAAAAACAAACAAAAAACATTTTAAAACAGCCTTTTAACAATGTGGCAAAACACGATTTAGGGTGGTGGAAGAGAGAGACAGTTAAATGAATAGGGGGATAATTAGTTCATTTTCTGGTGGGTTTCAGAATCCATATATTGAGAGCAAAAATGGATCTTATAGGGACTGACTTGCAATTGCAATTGTTATCAATGTAGTCATTTAACTCGATAATCACTGCCGGATACCTCTGGGGAACTGTTAGCAGTACAGTCGAATTTTACTTTCTCTCATGGATTGCTTGATTTGTTTCCTAATAAGAGAACAATTAATGTGCAAACCTGGCTTACATTCTTTTCCAGCAACAATCGCAAACACATAGTAAGAGCAGACCATCTTCCTGGGTTACAACGCACTCTATTTCTACTCTACCTAATTTCTTCTTGCTTGTCCTCAGCACAGCTCATGCAGGTGCCAGGCTGCCAGCTGAGACGGTGTTCTGTGTAGTAGTATAGCTGTCACCTTTCATAGCCATGATCAGAGGACATTACAGCATCACTCTTTCAAGCATGGGGTACTCCCATGACTCCGTGACAGTGTGTTGCTGTGGAAACGAGCAGTGCTGTGTAGGTGGTGGTCCTTGATAAATATTTATTGATGTTGGTGAAGAGATGGTGGAGTCTCACAGCAGCCATACTGGGGAAGGGGCAGGGGAGTTTAACTCAGGAGGCAGCCTGGTTTAGAGAAAAGAGTATGAGCTTTGGCCTCCGAAGTCCTCAGTTTGAATCCTGCCTGTGCTTCTTTCTAGTTATGCCTGCTTGGGCAAGTCTTTACCTTCTCAGATCCTAAGCTTCTCGTTTGTAAAGTGAGGATAATTATAGCTGTCTCGCTGGACTTTGGAGACCAAATAAGATGCCATTTGCAGAATGAATGGAAGACTGTCTGGTACATAATAGGTACTTTGTCCCATGAGGAGTCTTGTCTGTTACCTCAGCACAGGTGCATGTACACAGGCTGAGGGGGGTGGGACATCAGTCTTACGCTAAGTAGTGAACTGACCATGAGATGGCTGGATTTTGGTGATGATTTTGTCTCACTCCGTCACCCAGGCTGGAGGGCAGTGGTGCAATCTCAGCTCACTGCAACCTCTGCCTCCCGGCTTCAAGCGGTTCTCTTGCCTCAGCCTCCCAAGTAGCTGAGGTTAAAAGTGTGTGCCACCATGCCCAGCTAATTTTTGTATTTTTAATAGAGATGGGTTTCACCACATTGGTCAGGCTGGTCTTGAACTGCTGACCTCAGGTGATCTGCTGCCTCGGCCTCCCAAAGTGTTGGGATTACAGGTGTGAGCCACTATGCCCACCCAGTTTTCTTCCTTTTCTTCTTTTTAGGGGCTTGATTCCCTGCAGCTGTTTTTACAAAGAGATTGCCAATGAAATTTGCCAACAGATGACACTAGTAAATCTGGCCATTCAAAGGTTTAAATAGGGAATGTTTACTTTTAAGCCTATTTTACCCTCTGACTTAGAACTGTTGATAAAACACAAACGTTTACGTATTGCAGAAGGACACGGTATTAGGCTGTATTCTGTTTCCCTTCCTGCACCTTCTGTGTCCAGCCTTCCTTGCTTTTGGGCTCTCTCCTCTGCTCTTCCCTAACCTAGAAATCAAGCGCACAGCACTCTGGGGCTGTGGGGTAAAAGATACTTTGTGCCTTCGATAAACAAGCAAAGAATGAAACAAATCGAGGGTCACGGCATTCCAATAAACAGATTAAAAAGCTATGAGATTATTGAGAGGAAACCATGTCTGACAAGTATAAGAGCATTTGCAAACACATTGCAGAACTGAGTCCAGAAGGCAATACTACGTAGATATTAGGAAGCTGTTAGAGTGTCTCATGAAATCTTACAGAATGGATTCAGATTAGTATGGAGAAGAAGAAAGCCACGTATTTTCAATAGATTAGCAACAATCAGATGCAGCTGCAGGGACCGGCATTTATCAGTAGTGTGTGTCCAGGTGGGTTAGGGTGACCGGTTGGAATCCTGGGTTTCAGCATTTGGTATGGTCCTGCTGGACACGTGTATTTGCCTGTGAGAGGCAGAAATGAGCATGATAATGGCATTTATTTATTACCTGTTGGTAAGAGTTGCAGGTACTAAACAGGATGCAGAGGGACCCAGTGAGGATTCTAGATATAGTTTCCAAAGGGACCTACCAGAAGTCAACTGTGGAAAATGGGAATTGATGTGTCAATAAAGTGGAACAGGGAAAAAGTGAGCTGTCAGTGAGGCATGGTCATCATTAGGGCCTGTTTTGTCCCCAGTGCAAGCATTATTGCAGATTTCAGTTTGTCCTTCCTAGCTATATCCACAAGGAAGGGCTGTGCAAAGGCCCGTCAGAGCCACCTTCGGACTGGTAAGTCACCTGGAAATGGAAGCAGACCCACAGCGATGCACACTTTGTTTTTCTCATGCTGAAGTCAGGCTGCCGAAGTACGTCTGATACACAAACACGTCCCCTGGAGCGTAAGTGGAAGAGATGCAAAGTCTCACATTTCTTGAATATTCAGCTTACATTTTTTGTCTGATGCTGCAGGGGAATCAAAAATGGTGGAGCCACTTTGGTAAACAGTTTGGCGGTTTCTTTAAAAAGTCCAACAGAGACTCCCTGTAAAATCCAGCAATTCCACTTCTAGGAATCTACTCAACAGAAATGAAAAGATGTCCACAGAAAGACACGAACATGAATGTTTGTAGCAGCATTATTCATGGAAGCCGAAACCTGAAAATTCAGATGTCCATCAACCGGCAAATCCATCCGAGGGACTACGACTAGGAATAAAAAGGAGTGATCTGCTGATACAGGCTGCACCATGGATGGGCTTCGAGAATGTTATGCTAAGCAAAAGAAGCTGGATGTAAGAGACTGCATGTGTTAGGAGATGCACCGATAAGGCAGGTCTGTGGAGACAGAGAGCTGACCAGTGGTTGCCGAGGGCTGGGTGTGGAGCAGGGGTTTACAGGAAGTGGGCCTTAGAAAACAGCTCATGTGCTACTCTTAAGAGATGTTTGCAGGCTGGGTGCGGTGGCTCACACCTGTAATCCCAGCACTTTGGGAGGCTGAGGCGGGCGGATCATGAGGTCAAGAGATTGA